GCTTTCCCACATCTAAAAGGTCCGATGGTAATTTATGACTTTCAGCGCTCCTTTTGTCGGAAAAGAAGACTTATAATATGATAATAGCATGCTACAGTATTGCGTCTATATCGTAAAAAATGATCAACACCGGATAATTTTTCATAAAAAAACGGAATCACTAATATGGTAGTTCATAATTTTGCCATATGGTGATCGATGAAAATATAGAAAATGCTTTTTCATGAGCATGAGAATGGTGCGACAATCTTAAGAAATTTTGGATGTCTGATGACAGTTGAAGAAATATTTCAAAATTAATCGCATATACGTCTTGATAATGTAAAATTTACCAAAATAACCCTCATTTCAGGCACGTAAATTGGAATAACTGCTAACTTTGCAAAACGAAATACCGATCCTTTTTAAAAATTCCTCTGCGCCAGTTTTTTTTTCACATGGCCTGTGCAGTAAATCTTGAAAATGCGGAAAAATTAGGCAATAAATAAAAATAGAATATCCACCAGTACCTTATTATTAAAGTTTCCATCTCTCAAACTGCGAATGTGGTGCAACGACGTTTGAAATTATGACTTATGAGTAATCATCTTTAGGAAAAAAGTATTCTGTGTAGAAAACAAAGCCCATGATTTTCAAGCCAGCTTCTAGATTCAAAACTGCATTGCTCACGAGATGAGAGGATTATATTTGATTCTGAATGACACCTTATAGATATAGAGCATGCCATCATTTCAATTTTAGCTATACTGCCATTATATTTTGAAAGTTGTTGAATAATTATGATACTCTTACAAGTATTGAAACGATTTGGACTCAAGACCTGCTTTCTTTTTTATCCTTAATGAGAATATAATTTGGTATGACCAGGGCAATTAAATTATTTATGCGCCTAAACGTATGTTCCATTCACATGCACTCATTATTCTGGGTGAATATAATTTAACCAGCTTTACAAATATACAAAATGTTATAGATGCATCCCGAAGACATTCGATCATTAGCCGAGACGACGGTTTATTTATTGGAATCCTTAACGGAAAACACGAGTTTTCAAGTGGAAAGTCTATTTGTCTCTTTACATCGTACAATGGAACATCCAGGAAAATTAGGTGCCGCGAATGAACTATTGCTTTATCCTTGAAAGCAATTTCAAGCATTTCAAGGGACATTCATCGAGTTCATTAAAATTTAATTCACGACGCGCATTAACGTAGGAAAGCGTCACATTAGTGACGAATGTGCTCATCATTACTGTCACTAAATTATATACACATATACACACACAACAGAGTGTCTCTCCAGAAATTTGTGAACGAGGTAAATGCCATACACCACTTCATATTTCTCACCGAAGTCCTTCGTACAGTATTATCATTTTCCCGAAGTGGTATTTCAATGTATCTGACGCTGGCAGCAAAAATGATTTCATCACCGGCAAATCGTT